AATTGGATTTTCTCGATTTCTGGCCTGGCATAAGTGTTACCTGAGATTAACGGGTTATCCATTACTTATGACAGATCCTGTATATAAAATATGAAAAAGATGCGAGCATCGACGCGCCAACCTCAAAACAATGTTGTGATATATTTAATAATGCCATTGTATCTATTTCTAAATTGAAAAAGTGTGGCCATGAGTTTGTTGGCCCTTTCTTCTCATAAGGTTCAACGCTCGGTTGTAGATCGGTACAGGCAAATCATAGATTTAATATAAGTTTAATTTTTATAAAATTTTGTTACTCACTATTTGGCAAAACAGAGATTGTTGATATTGTGTGTGTTGATATATGACTTTAGAGTCTACATAAAAGACGATTTCAAACAATTTAAAAAATTGTATGAAATAAGGAAAGTTTGAGTTGAGTTGAAAGATGCGAGCGTTTACACGCCAACTTGAGTGTCGGAAAAAAGTCTTGTTACACTTTTGACGGTCTCGCTCCCATCCGCTCTTCTTCGCACTTCGTTGAAATAATTAACAACAAGTATAACGTTACTGTTTAATCCCTAACTAGCTTCTTCAGGGAAACGGACAGGATGAATGTATATATAAAAATAAATAAAGTTTCAGTGTTTAAAATAAACCTGAATTTAAATTTTATTTATTTTAGCTTCTCTTTGCATCTTAGCTCTTTGCTCATTAAAAATTAATACCATAAGGGTAAAAGAAACATCTAAAACACATTTTTCAATCGTTAAAGTAAGGCGTCCCCGTTAAAATTCTTTCAGTGTAAACTCATTTGGTCCGACGTTTCTTGTAAAGAAACTGGACACGTAAGCGAGGTCTGAGCGTGGATTTCAAATCAATTCCTTTTCGATTCCAAGTTGCGGACGCGTTGCGAATAATGACATCAGATTTCATTATTTGAGTATAGGTTTATTTTATATGTTACAAAGTAAATTTTCAGTTTTAATATTCATTATAAGTTTTTTTTAAATTGTTTTAATATTATAAAAAGCGATGTGAAGAAAGAAGTGCTGAAGTTGCAGAGGACTGGCCATATTAGCCGCAGAACTAACAATCGTTGGGGAAAAAAAGTTCTTGAGTGGAGACCGCGTCTCGGCAAACGTAGTGTAGGACGCCAGCAGGCCAGGTGGAGTGACCACTGGAATGACAGGAGTGGGATGCAAAAAGCCCAAAATCGATCTAAGTGGCGTAAAATGGGAGAGGCCTATGTCCAGCAGTGGACTGCGATAGGCTAATGAAAAAAATGAAAACATCAAAAAATCATTATTTCCACATAATCCTCTTGAGATTTGTTATATTAAACTAAACAAGTGCATAAAAGTAATGATCCTTGACGGATATTTGAAGTCCAAGACATTAAAATTAACTCTTATAAACACACAAATCTATTAAGTAATATACTAATTTCTTGCCTGCAGTAAGCTATATATCGTGTTACTATCATATAACCGATATTACAGGTAACTAATTTGCGGTGGCAGACGTTCCACGAAATTGGAATATTCTGCTCGGTTCAAAACCGCAGAGAATGTACGACATGCCTGTCAGCTGATGTAAGGCATTCAAGCATTGCTTTACAGCCGGCTATCTCTGAAGCCAGGTATTAGGATTTCAGAATATTACGTGAGCCTAGTTCGAAAACTAGGATTAGCGGCATTAAGGTTATCGAATTATTTTTAGTATTGTTAAGATACAACATTTTGAATTAACTTCAACAGATGTTAAATAGTAGTAAATGTAATTGTTTATTGCTCTATAGCAACCGGCTGTGTCGATTTCCGGGAAAATGCGTAATATGAGAACTCTTAAATGACAAATGGTTATGAAACTTCCACATAAACATTAGATTAAGTTACTTTCTTCACATGAAATTGCCGGTATAACTTGTGCATTGCGTTTCATTTAAAACAAAAATACCCTCGTTATCACTCGCTGACATAATTTTAAATCAAAAGATATTCAATAAATTTCCCTTACACAGGAGTTTTACAATTTGTAATGACACAGAGAACAAGTAAGGAACTGAACGTTTGTTTAATAAAGACAAACTTTGAAGGATAATGACAGAACAAAAGTTCAATTTGAATTACTTTGAAATTGTTACGTTTATTTTGTTTACTGCATCTGTTTAAAACCAAACCTTGAACCTGGTTTAAAATGTTTAATGTCATTATAAGTTTATAATGTGGATCTTAATTCTGAATTTTGTTTAATTTCTACATGGACTAACCAAATATATGTGCACGCATTGTAGCTTTTGTACCTTATAACATGTTATTAATTAGAAACTAAGTACAATATTACACATAAAAGAAAATTAGGTTAAAAATTAAGGATCTGAATCTGAGGAATCTAGAGATTAGTGGAATGAGTCCAATAACAAATTATATAATGTCAATTAACAATTTAAACAAACGAACTTAGTAAAGGAAGGAAGAAAGAGAAGATAACCATGGTGTTTTTCTTATTGTAAACAGAATAAGAACAGTACTTTATAAGAGGCAAGTGTTAAAAAAAAAACAAGAGTAGATACAAAAAACCCCGATATCCAAGAAATTTGGATTAAACGATTAATAAGCGAATATCGGTGGCTAAGTTACGGCTTAAATATAAAAATCATACTAATCAAAAGTTTAAATTCAATTCCAAAGAAAGAAAGATGTAACGAAACTTGTAAATAGTCTCAAGTTTAAAGAAATGAGGGTATCGTTACAGGGATAATCTTGACATAGCAAAATAATCAGCAAATACAACTCATAGAAACTTATAAGTCACTTATTTTATTAGTGAGTAGATTTAATGTTAAACTTATTTGCACTGGCTAAGGTCACAGTATGATATTTATAAGAGTATTAACAAATGGCTTAATCTAGTTACATTCTATATTATGTTTTAGTATCGCAATACGCAGATGACTATGAATTCAATGATAAAGATAAATAAGTTACCACGATGCCAACTATACAGTCAGGACTCTGTTATTTTTGGTCATATAGGTTACTGATGTTATTAAGTGTGATTTAAAGTGTCTTATTTCTATTTTAATTATTTGAAGCAGAACTGCATTAAGAAAAATATAATTTTGAAGAAGCTAATATGTGTGAACGTTGTCAATAAAGATGTAAACATCGCTGGTGTTTTGATTGCACAGATTTTAAACAAAGTTTGTTTAAAGTTCAACGCTGTGGCAGCACTGTACGCAACGCACGCTGTTTCCTTAGAGAATAGCACCGCTGCTCCGAATATACTAGATCGGCAGTAAACATAATATTTAGTTTTTATCCTAATCATTATTTCCTAACTGCTAAACAGATTTCAGAACATAGCGAAAATATCAAATGTTTAAGAAAATTGCAAATCTTCATTGCTTTCAGTTTGTACAGAATCCTATCACGTGACAGCTATCGTTATTTATTTTTCAGACTTGACTGGTTTTATGAAAACGTTGGGACGTATTTTTCCGATCGTACCAAGTAAGCAATATAGGTTTAATTAACGCAGTACAAACATTTGCACAGTACTTCAGTACGTCACAGTCGGGACATACAGTGGTTTTCAAAGATTTTCAGAAACTCATGTTAAGTATGTTTTTATGTTTGTCATATTGTCTTAAAGTATTCTTTTATATGAAATTCAGTGATCATTATGGGAGATCATTTTTACCATTGCATTTTAAATACACGTTGCCAGGGCTAAAGCAAAGGGCATAGGGTACGTTTCATTTGGAAATTTAATGAAAATGAAAAATGAAAAAGAATGGAAAAATGAAGCTACAATGGAATTATTTGTTTTAATTAATTGTTTATTTTTGTAATTTGTTTATTTATGATATTGTTAAGGCGTATGAGAGACAGTAGCAACAGCATCCTAAAAATGATGCTTCTCGTACAGATTGTCCAATTAAATGTAGGTTAATTCAAATAATAAGACGAAACGACCTCCGTCCTCCATAAGCGCAGGCCTGAGGTGGGACAGGTGAGGCCATCTGTCACCCTAGCAGAAGCAGGCCGGGTTGGAGCCTTTTAGGTTCCCTTTAAGTTGTACAAGGGGAACATCGTGTTTCCCACACACGAGGGGGTAATCTGTAAGCCGTAGATGGCTCTGGGTCCGTCGAGGTTCCAGGGATTTCCTTCCTTCCTAGGGTACACCTGGTTCCCCGGCTACTGGTACTCGAGCGGCGTGCGGTTTTTGGTCGGTTCATGTCCGACATAACCACCGGTGGGTGGTATCCGAAGGGATTTCCCCACAACAAAAGAAAAAAAAAGAAAGGGAATCATACATAGGGAATCTCTCATCCCCAAAACTGTACTGGTCTGGCGGTATACCTAAAGTTTCAAGTTCCATTTCAACACGAGCAAAGTCATGGGTAAAAACTAGTATAGTAAAATATTTTAATCATTTTTTATTTCAATTGATATCTTAAAATAAAACAATTTCGACAGAATATTGGAAAAAGTTTGAGTAGCGCTTTATTACTTGAAACTGCTAGCAGTCTTCCTGTCGCATTATTGAGGACACAGTCACCGGCGACTAGATGGATTTCAGACTCGTATTGTTGAGTTTGGTTTAAGTATTTTGATCCAGCTATACCTTATATAAACTAAATATAAACCTTAATACCATCCACAACGATTGTTGGTTGGTTTATTGTACTCAATGTTATTTTCAAATTTTATGGAATAAATACTGAGTGTTGCAATTTTTTATAAAATTAACTTATTGTTTTAAGTGAGTGGCGAATTACAAAAATATTACCTAAAAGTTATTATAGTATTGTGGTGATTAGCTGATGAAACTTATTTTCATCACTGGCAACCAAAGTCAAAATCTTAAAAAAATATTTTGCCTTTCTCCCGGTGCATAGTTGTTAATTTCTTAGTACTTATAAGGCAATATGACGCCTTTATATTGCGTTTTGATATATTTTGCTCTAAAATAGAAATTCTAAGCTCAAAGTTTCAGAAGCTTCAAAGTTCTGATCAATCTAAAACTATTCGTTTCTTTAAACTTTGGGATAAGTTTAATTTAGCACTGGGATATGGTATTTGTAGATGATTATAAGTCTTGTAGAAAAGTTTCCAGAAAGTTGTTCGTCGATGGAACGGTCTAGTTTTCGGTGTTAGTTGAGAGCCAATATTCAGATAATGTACTTCTGAATTAGTGACTGGATTCCACTTAACAGGAAGCAGTTCCGACCATTGAGGATTAGGATTACTGTAAAAAAAATATTTTGTGGTTAACTAGCCATCTTTTAACATTTTTCTATCATCATCATCATCATCATCAACCTATCGCCGTCCACTGCTGAATGAAGACCGGGAGGTCTTCATTCAGCAGTGGACAGGGATGTTTGGCACTCTTTGAGGGATCAAAGAGTGCCAAACATCCCTGTTTTGGGCAGTCGGTATCCATCCGCATTTTTCTGTTACTGTTAAAATAATCATATTTATAATTTTGCCAGATATTAACTTAGTGTATTACAGTTTTCTAGATATCTTTAACAAAGCTAACAAAATATGTAAACAAAATAATAAGTGAAAAAAAAAGGAATTAGAATACTATGTCATTCTTACCCAAATTTAACAAAGTTGGTCCATATTTTCGTCAACTGGTTGATCATGCGTTGATCTTCACGAGATATTGGCAAATCTTTGTAAAAAGATATATCAAACAAATACCCTAGTTCGTCACCATGTACTGTTCCACCGCCAGTTACATTCCACCAATTAGTAATAAAATTTCGTTTACCTAGATATGAGAATAAGTATAAAAATATATTTCCAGCTTTATTTTTTAAGTATTTCTCAATTATTCTATAAGTTGGATAAATAAATTTAAAGTCTGTGTCGTAATTACAGAAACTTCTTTTAACTTTAGCATTTATTGGGTCATCACCAAAGTAAAAATGACGAACAAAGTCTTCCATTTCTTTAAATTCTTTAGCGGTTACATCAAAACCGTACGCAAGAATATTTTTAAAGGCCTTCCGAAAATATTCATCATCTGCAGATAAATGATAAGCACCCATTTCATTATTGTTAAAGCCTATTAGTACAGGCATGTTTTGCACTTTCGGTAAACTTACATTAAGCCAGTTTTCGGTAAAAAAACTTTCAACACATTTAATATTTTTTTCTATGCACATTCTAAAATTATCATTCATTTCCAAACTTTCAGCAGCATTTGTTACCAAAAGAGTGTCTTGTTTTGATAAAAAAATAAGTGCTTTGGTCACATTATTTGTGGTAAAACCTAAATAATCTGCAAGTAATATTGGAGCTCTTCGATTGGCTTCTGTCATTAGAGGCGTCATCGTGTTTCCACTATGGATAATGACTTGTTCATATAATTTCTCATAGTTTGAATGTAAATGGCCATCCACGGCTATGGCGCCAGCGCCCCCACCTGATATTGTTATTCTATTTTCGTCTCCACCAAAAGCTCTAATATGTTTTTTAATCCACCTGAAGCCTAAAACTTGATCTTTGAAACCTTGGTTACCTGGTACTTCAGGAATATCTAAACACATAAAACCATAGGGACCACCTCTATAATTGATGGTAACAAAAATTATATCATGCTTAACTAAGTAACTGGCACCATAATAAAATCTACTATGAGATCCTTCTTGAAAACTACCTCCGTATATATACACTAGAACGGGGAGACGGTTATCGAAAGAAGCAGAAAAAGGTACAAATATATTGAGGACTAAACAATCAAGAGAGCCCGTTAATTTGTTTGTGTATTCATTTCGTTGCGGACACATAACCGAGTCATTGTACGCTTCAAAGGTTTTTATGAACCCTGGGTGTGGTGCCGCTACCTGAAATTATAAACAAATAAATAATTTAATATATCTTTCAAACTATCTATTGTCTTTGTGCTAGTGGTTTTGGAAAACAATTTTCAATAGTAGATTTGTAGCCAAGGGCTGTAAGGCATCAATTGTAGCTCTAGATATTTAGGCGCACGAGCGCAGCGAGGGCGCCTATAGTTCGAGGGTGCAATTGATGCTTACACCCGAGCTAACTATTCTGCTTTACATCTCGATTGTGAGGTAAGTAGAAAAAAACCGGCATTACAAGAATAAAACATTTTATTTGTTGAAATTTATAGTGAAATGAGAACAATTTTCAAATTTTAAGGACAGGGGTTTTTTGGGTATGTTAATAGTTTGAGGTTGTGATATTAATTGCTGCTTCATCACTTGAAGGACTCATGTTTTTTCTTAATTAGCACGTAATTATAAAATAATCCCAAAAACAAACAATTTTTAAAGTACAAGTTTTCTATTCCCGCCTTTTTTCATTAAAAAGAATCAAGTAAAGAACTTTTTAAGTTTTTTTAAAATCGAAATTGAGCTTCGCCGTTCGATATTTAAAATTTATGACTATTTTACTCACACAAAGACAAGGCTGAATAGCAAAGCGACCTCTTTGGTCATTGGGCTGAATGCTTGATGTCTATTGCCAGTATGATGGTTAGATGTACGCGAACTTTTTGAAAGAAAGAAGTGTTTTTTTTTTAATTATTTACCACCCTAGGGCTTTTCTAGCTACATTATTACCCTTTTTTTTTTCCCTCCCCCTCGGAAATCCCCTCGGATACCACCTGTCGGTGGCATGTCGGACTCGAACCGACTAAAACCGCACGCCGTCTCGGGTACTAATAGCCGGGGAACCAGGTATACCCTAGAAAGCTACATTATTACCCTAAAGCGCTAATTAGTCACTTCCAAGCCCCATTTGGAGGTAAAAAGAACCTACTTACCGAACATGAGAGATGTAAAGGTTCTTTACAGTCAAATACGATCGACCAATTTAAATAATGCACTCGTATATTCTTATCACAGGATTGTTCACGCTTGTCATTTAAAATTTAACTTTTATTTTTTTGACATTATACTTTGATAAAACTGGGTACTTCGTGAGAAACTTATGAAATATCAAGTACACCGATTGAGTTTTCAACTCATACACTAACACAAATCTTTACAATGCTTTGAAATTAATTTCAAGCAAAACTTATTGCCTTTTATTCTTTACATGAAATTTATTTCAGATATTGCATCTACATGAGTTTAAGTATATTTAATACGAGAATATGTAATGTAGGAAATATAAAGTCATAAAGACTCGAATATAAATCTCAAATATAAAAAATATCATAATCTCATCGATGGATTTAATGTCCCAGTTAAAAATGAAATGTAATTACTCACCCCAAAAGGATTGTCTGCATCAACTAGAGCAAACGGTATTCCAAGGAACATGAAATAATCACCATCGTCAGCTTTCAAACCTTTGATCTCACCAATATCTGTTTTTACCAAAGGATTTACCTTTATTTCACTTGTAACTGAACTAACAATAGTTAAAAAGGAAACAATACTTATACGCAACATGACTTGTTTAAAATCTTGCAACAACATTTGTCTTTTAAAAAATAGCCCAATACTTTAAAGTTCCAATTTGTAATTAGTTCTAATAAGTGGATGAAGCATCTGCCTTTCACAAATATAAACATTATGTCTATAAAGTTTATTTGTGTTCGATTATCGAGTGTATTGATGTCAATGATCAGTTGGAAGAACATTATCTATACTAATATTATAAAGCTGAAGAGTTTGTTTGTTTGTTTGTTTGAACGCGCTAATCTCAAGAACTACTAGTCCGATTTGAAAAACTATTTCAGTGTTAGATAGCCCATTTATCGAGGAAGGCTATAGGCTATATATTATCACGCTAAGACCAATAGGAGCGGAGCACCAATGAAGAATGTTTCAAAAACGGAGAAAATTTATTACTATTGAGAGACGCAGACGAAGTTGCGCGGGTCAGCTAGTTATAAAATATTTGTTTACAATTTGAAATGGACGTGATAAATGAGTGTATTGAGTTTCGTTTGATATCGGAGCCTTATTTTATAATTGCCTATTCATCAATACGCTAGTTTAATTCTCTTATCTTTATAATAGCTGTTTGAGTTTTATAGATACGCGGTTCATTTGAGTCTAAGATTGCTTTCTTTTAGTAGGAGTTTTTGTCTTTTTTAATTACTTGAATAGGATAGAAGCAAGTATATTCAATTTACACTTAATGCATCTTTTTTTTATGGTATAAGGGGGCAAACAAGCAGAAGGGTCACCTGATAAGCAAATAAGCAGAAGGGTCACATGGTAAGCAACTACCGCCTCCCATGGACACCTGCACCTCAAAAGACACAAGTGCGTTGCTGCCCTTGGAGCCCCCTCGCTCGAGTCAGTGGGAGAGGGGATTTGGGCTCCAGTAACCTCACTCACTCAGTGAAAGGCAACGAAAAAATTGCTTAACACCGGTTTTATTTGAGGCCGTGGTATCACTCCGGTCGAGCCGGCCCATTTGTGCCAAAGCATGTGAGATACATACATTTTTTACTGTTTAAGTTACCATAGGTTTTTAAAACTTAAATTTTCGCAATGCAATGTTATTTTCCCTTATGCACGACGTTATTTTACTATCATTAGGTACTTACTATTGAAATTCGTTTATTTCGGCAATACCGACTCTATTAAACCGCATTCTGATTACATTCTCGTAATAGTTTTGGGCAAAACTATTACGTCTGTATCAAAATTCAACTTGTTTCCGAACGGGTGTCATGTCCCTCCAACACAAAGGGAGGATCCTCTGACAGCCGAGGTGATCCTGCCTGGCAGGCCGCGGCCCAACGGTTGATGTTGGGAAGTTGTATATATGCTAATCGGGGAGGTAATTCTTCATATTGCGATGCAGGATTAGCAATTCTCATTTAGTAGTTACTCCGTAGTTCGGTATGTCTTCGTTAGATGGCACTGTAGTATGTTTCTGTTTCTTTGTATGTGGAAGTCGCCACAAACTATTGTTTATACGCCATTCGCAATTTTCAACCCGTTGTAGATAGGCCGATCGCATCATTATACTGAATGACAACTGTCCCTAATAAGCTTTTGAGCTTATTAAGGATAGTTGTCACTTAGTAGAACTGGACGGAGAAGGGCAACAATAAAAAAAAAGTGTGTGTGTGCGCAATTCACACACGGCATAAGTGAAACTTAAAAAAAAAACTCTGAAAAACCCTATAAAATTTGGCCCTGCAAGGGAATCGAACTCACTAAGGCAGTGGTTTTCAAATTCCACGCGAACGAAGGCGCGAGTACCAGCTAAATTAAATAGAAATATAAAAAAAATCACACTGTCAAAATATTATATAAAAAAATAATGTGTAATGTATTTGAAACACAATTTTTATTGTTACTGAATAAATGACAAATGACAAATTCTATCTCATTCTCTCGCCGAATTAATCAAATACACATTTATGTGTTTCTTTCTTTATCGTGACGCATTTTCGTTACATCGAGTTTCAAATTACAACGATTCCAAAGAAGTTTCACTTAAAACAAACGTATTCGAACACTGTAATGTACTGAAATTAGACTCGTGCAGTTAAAATCTACAATTTACTTACTCTCGTAGTAGCTACGAGAATGATTGATACAAAGAAGGGCATGAAAACGTAATGAACAAACTATTTTTTTTTACTTCTACTAATTTAACAATAATAGGTATTATAATTCTGGAGGAACGCGTGTCATGTCCCTCCAACACAAATGGTCCTCCGACCAGGCGAGGTGATCATGCCTGGCGTACCACGGTTGATGTTGGGAAGTTGTGTATATACGAGAGAGAATTCTTCATATCGCGATACAGGATTAGCAATTCTCATTCAGTAGTTACTCCGTAGTACGGCGTGTCTTCATTAGATGGCGCTATGGTATGTTTCAATTTCTTTGTAAGTGGGAGTCGCCACATAACCATAAAAGTATTTAATTTTAATTCCTAGTTTGTAAAGTATTATATTTCCGAAGGGTTCTGAGCTGTGAGCAAATTGTCATAATTTGCTTTATAAAACAGATCCCAGAAAGTTACTCGCCGATGAAAAGGGCGACCTCCGAGTGACAGTTGCGCGTCAATATTCAAGTAAGGTATCTGTGATAGATTCTTA